GCTCCGGCGCTCCGCAGACGGCCGGCCCGCGCGAGCGTCCGCCGCTTCTGCGAACGGCGCCGCTCGGCTGGCGCGCTCTGTAAACAGCGCCGACTCCCGCCGCGGCCCGGCCGGTGACGCCGGCGCTGCGGCGGCGCGGCGGCGGCGGCGGCGGCGGCGGCGGCGGCCGTCGCGGCGATGGCCCGCTAATGGCTGCGGCCGTGTCAGATCCGTGGCCGGCGGCGTGGCGCGGGGCCCGTGCTGCGTCGCTCCACGCCGCGTCGCGTGTCACGGCCATCTCGGCTGCCGAACGCGAGGGACGTGTTTTTCGGGCGCCGTCTGGAAGTACGGGAACATGTGGCGTCGCAGGCAGCTGGCGTCGTCGCCCTTGGTGCCGGTGTTGGCGTCGCAGCCATTTACGCAGTGGGGCGCATGCAAGCTTCTAGAAGGGGACGTCATGACTGCGGAGTAAGTAGCGCGCGGTAGCACTTACGATAACCTGTTTGCAATCGATACTCACAACTTACACTGGACGGTGTTTTGCCAGCTGGTTCTCGGCCCTCTCACCACAGTTAGCATCAGCGGAATCCCATTTGCTCGTCGGCGAATGGAAGCACATTACTTCTTTGGTAAGCACATCCGACCAGCAAAGGAACCACCTGTGGCATCAGCGTGGAGGCCCAGTCCGAACTTGGCCCAGAGAGGCGAAGCAAGTGCGGTAATTGCGGCTGTTGACATAGCAGCGCCCCCAGCAACGGCCACCGCTTGTTGACACACTACAAACAGCCTTGCATGTCGGGCAAATGGGCAGCTCTCAATCGCGTGTTGATGGCGCGATCGGCGACGCTGTTTTGGACCACACCACCTGCCAATCGCGCTGTGACTTGATCGCGTCCAGGCTCGCCGCGGCGGCGCTCGGCCGGGGAAGCCGAGCCGACCTGTGGCCGCGCGTGGGTTTGGCCCCGGCGCTCTCCGTGGGGCGGCGGCCGCACTTGTGGCGCTGTCGGTCGCTGCCTCGGCGGGCGTCGTTCGCTGATGAGGCACGAGCGTCAGGTGTGTGCAGCGTTTCCGCCGCGAGCGGGCGTGATCGGCTGCCGACGCTGACGGGCGGCAGCGGCTGTTGGGGCCGCACCGTAACACAGGTGATCTGGACGTGTACGGGGCGCGGCGCGACGTGCGGCCGCCGACCCAGGAGTGCTCGGCCGCCGTCCTCGCCCGCTGTCGACGTGCAGGCCACCTCGGACGGTCAGGCGTCCGTGACCGTGGCCCTGGCCGTGACCGTGGGCCGACGGCGGCCGGGGGCGACGCGGCCGGCATCGAGCGGCGCGCCGCCGCCGGCCGTGGCGGCGTAGTACGGCGCGCCGGCGGCCGGCGTACAATGCGCGCCGCCTCAGCCATCGATCGGCGGCGGGCGACCGCGGCGCCGGAGGCGGAGGCGGCGCCGCCGGTGGCGCAGCCGTCGGACTCGCCGGTCGGGCGCGGCAGCGGTGGTGGTCCCGGCCGGGGCTGGCTGACCCGGTCACGCGTCAGATGTGGGCGAAATCAGTCACAAATCAAACGCCACTCAAAACAAATAAATGCCTCGGTGCCGCGGTGCCGTCATCGGCTCCTTGTCGCGGGACGCGCTGACGACAGCTGATGGCATTGGCAGACGCAATCTCCGTTCGGTAATGCACTCTGCATAGGCCGCCGCGGCGTTCAGTTGATCGCGCCCAATCGGCGCTCGCCGTCGGCCGACGACCGGGGCCCGTTGTCCGGCCGGCCGGACGCCGACCTCTGGCCTTCGCCGCGGTGGGCGCCGCGGCGTGGCGCCAGTTGTTTGCGTCGCCGTCTGCGCGCGCCTGGACGGGGGCATAAGCAGACCGCGCCGTCGGCGGGGCGAAAAGCAGCATGTCGTCAGAGCCACAGAACAGGAATGAGGCAAGCCTCGACGCTGGGCTGGAGGCGTTCGTACCCGGCTGTATCCATGACGACACGCGCGCGGGGTCACATGCGCCCGGGGCAAGGGCGTCCGGGCGCCGCGCGTCCGTGACGGGTCTGCGGCGGGGCGGTGACGTGATCTGGCCTGCCGAAGGCTGCCCGGCTTGGCATCGGCAGCCGGGATAAGCCGTGTAATGCCGGCGCCCGACGCTCTGGGCCAGACAGGAATGATGCAGCGCTTTGCGGAGGCCGTTACCGTGGCCGCGCTTTAGCATGCGCTCGGTTGCGTGACGTCGGTGAATCAGGCAAACTGGTGCACGAGGCGGCGCCAGGTTATCCCGCAGTGGCTGCTGGCCGCGCTGCAATATGGGGCCGTAGCATGCGACCGGTCAGCACGCCGAAAATGGCGGTGGGCGACCGTTTATCCGCGCGGCGCGTTCATGACGGCCGTGGACCATTCCCGAACAGCGTCGGCCCTTGGACCCGCCGTCGTGCAGCGCGCAGTGAACGTACGCCGAGGCGCGGCAGCGGGTATTTAAGCGTGCGGCGCCGCGTGGCGCACCAGTGGACCTCGGCCCAGTGTGGAGTCGTCGCCCCTGGCAGACGGCCAAGCGGCGCTGGTGCTGTCGATGTGTTGCCCGGGCGTGCTGCGGGTGCGGTATGCGATCGGCTGAAGCTCCGTTGGTGGCGCTGCGGTGGGCGGCATCAGGTCACGGCAAGAGTGCTTTGCTTTGCTTTGGGCGGGTTCCGTAGGGCAGAGTTCACCTTGACGAGTCACGTGTCCGGATGTAGCCCCCGCTGGTGTCCGGAGGCGGCCACCGGTGCCCGGAGGGGGGGGGGGGAGATCTCCCGCGCCATCCCGCCGGCTCCTGTCCCCCTCCCCTACCCTTCTTTCTTCTCTTCCCGAGATAAGCCCCCCCTTTCCCCCTGCCCCGCCCCGCTCCGGCACGGCATCATCAATCGGCCCCGGCCGCGCCATGCGATGTTTATTGGTGTTTGGCCGAGGAGACGAACGCCGCCGCCGCGGCAGCCGCTACCAGGGCCGGGTCGGCGGGCGGCCGCTCGCTAATGACGCCGAGAGCCCGACTGGCGGCGCCGGTCCGGGAGGCGCCGACTGCGGGGCGTCAGCGGTCCGGTCCGGCCAGGGTGCGGCGCTTCCGTTCGCTTCCTCCGCTGCTCACCACCCTGTGGACCCTTGAGGACGGAATGTGCGCGTCCAGCTGCCGCCGGCGGCGACTCCAGCTGGCCCGGGAGACGTGCACCGGGCACGGGGCGCCGGTCTTTCGGTGGCTGCTCCGGCGGCCTGCTCGTCCGCAGACTCGCCGCCGTGTCCGCGCCTCCCCCCCCCCCCCCCTCCCCCCGATGTGAGGTCCGCCGGCCGGCTGCTGATGTGAGGTCAGCAGGTCCCGTTGTCTGCGGCGGGGCGTCAGACGGCCGCCAAGGCTGCACTGAGATCCGTCCGGTCTGCCCAGGCTGGGACACGGCAGGCCCAGCGGGCCTCTGGCCGGCCGGGCCGGGACACGGCAGGCGCAACCAGCCTCTGACCAGCCAGACGGGCTGGCCGGCTTCACCGGCGGCGCCTGCCTCCCACTCAGAGAGCTGTCTGTGCGCGGGAGCTCTTGGATACTCTCTTGGATCAGCAGTCTTGGATCTTCTCTTGGATCAACAGTCTTGGATCTTCTCTTGGATCAACAGTCTTGGATCTTCTCTTGGATCCACAGTCTTGGGTCTTCCCCGGGATCGATTATCTTAGATCTTCTCTGGGATCGAGTCTGGGATCTTCGCTTAGATCAGCAGTCGGCGATGCCCGGGAAGGCCGCCCGCAGCAGAAGTTGTATCCGCACCGGCGAGAGTGTGGCAGTCACGCGAACGCCGGCGAGAAGACGACGGCGGCGGTCGGTGCCGTGTGGGCACGCCCATCAGATCCTCGTGCCGTCTGACGATGAAATCCTCGCTCGCGCCGCGGCGCGATCCCGTTCTCTGGCGGCCGCGCGCCGGCTGACGTGCACGGCCGGCCGTGGCGCCGCCCTCTTCCCCCGCCCCCGCGGCGGCGGCGGCGGCGGCGGCGGCGGCGGCGCCGCGGTGTTTCCCGCCCCGCTCTTACGTGACGTGACGTAAGCGGCGGCCGGCCCAGGGTCGGCCGCCGGCCGGCCCGCTGTCGGGCGGACGTGATGTAACGGAGCGCCGACCGGCCGCCTGCCCGCCGCCACGTGCCGGCCCGTGACGCACGGCCGCCGGCCGCCAGCCGGGCCGGCGGCGAGACGGCGCTTCAGCCGCGGAGGCGGCAGCGGGCAGCACCGGGAAGGCCCCCAGCGGGCAGGTCTGACGTTCGCCGGGGCGGCCGGGGCCTCTGAATAGCGGCGGCCGGGGCCTCTGAATAGCGGCGTCGCATTGTGCGCGGTACATCCGGTGTTGATGCTGAAAGCGGCTGCTGTGGTAACAGCGGACACGACGTCAGTGGTGGCAATGGCGGGCGAAGATGTGGCGTGAGTATTGCTGCCGGTTGTCATGGCGATTCGGTTGGCGAGGATTGCGTCAGCGCGCGGAAAATCACAGGAATATATTATATACATCGGCATAAGGTGAGCTAGGTCCGCACCAGCAAGTGTGCTTCCAGTGTTCCCAGTATAGCTTCAGGCTCAGTTCACGGCGAACAGCTGTGTCATCACATGTGTGTTGCACAAACGAGCGTTCTGAGAACGGTCTCGGCGGTGCGGCGTCGGGTCATGCCTGCTCCCTCTAGGTCCCTCTGCGGTGACCTAGACCCCGATGGCGACGTTGGCCTTTATGTTGACCTTGCTCGCTGCAGTGGTGTGAACTCGCCGGCGCTGACCCTGACCCCGGCGCTGACCCTGACCTCGGTGCTGACCCTGACCTCGGCGCTGACCCTCACCTCGGTGCTGACCCTGACCTAGGTGCTGACCCTGAACCCTGACCTCGGTGCTGACCCGTACGGCCTCTGTGTTGACCATGACCCCGGTGCTGACCCGGCGTCCTCCGTGTTGATCCCGAGTCCGTTGCGGGCCCTAGCTCCGGTGCTGACCTGTACGTCACTCGTATTGACCCTGACCCCGGTGCTGACCCGCACGTCCTGCCGACAGACCCGCTCTCGGGATGGATGGAGCAGAAGTTTCCGCAGGCGGCCTGGGAGTACCCGATGGTGGCGCCGCCGGCCCTGGAGCAGGGCGGGCCACTGTGCGGGCCGGCTGCCGAGGCCGACTCCGGCCTCCCGGACGACCTGCAGGTGAGGCGCCCCCTCCCCCCGTACCTGCTCCCACCCCACCCTTACGTCCATCCCCACCTCCGTGTCTCCTGTACATCTGTTTGCGTGTCCTGCCTCCCCCGCTCATTCTCGCTGTTTCGCTCTCTTCCTGTCCCGCGGCCTTGCCCTCTTGCCGGCCTTCCGCTCACTTCCCTCCGTCGCCGCGGCTGTTGTCAGGTGACTGTCACGAGCTGGCTACCCCTGCCGCGTCGCCGCCGCGGTGGCGGCCGCTCCGGCGCCGGCGCGCTCGCCGCTCGGCTCTCGACCCGGGCCGTGCGGTGGGATGTCGTCACGTCGCTTGCTGACCGGGCCGCTGCGGCGAGGCGCGGCCGCGGCGGCGATAGTAGTCGGCCGTGCCGCCGGCGCGTCTGGCGCCGGGCGTGCTGCGGGGAAGCGCTGTTGCCGTGCCGCGATTTCCGAGAACGGACGGGCCCGTTTGCAAAACGCCGCGCCGCGTACTATCTGCAGCGGCGCGGTGCAGGCTCGGACGCTTGCAGTGAGAGGTCGAGCGGAGGGTCTCCGTGCGCTGTCGCGAGTGTTGACGCCGGACGAGTTTGGATGGGTATCACGCCACGGCCGTTACGTCAGGCTCCTGGCTGTGAACCCGCGAATGATTTTTTTACAGCGTCGGTGTCGGCCGTTTGCATGCTCCGAAGACCTGTTTGCGGATAGCCGTGTGCTGAGCCCGTGCGGCTGTCATGAGCAACTGTTCCCGGGCGAACGACGGGGCCCGGCACGAGTGACCCGACCGGTGTCCCGAGCGGCGTGTGCGCCCGTGATCTGATCTGACCTGACCTGACCCGCCCGCGCGCCGCCAGGACCTGTTTCTGGACAGCGAGGACGTGAGCGTGCCGGCGCTGCCCTGTGACGACGCCAACACCCTGCTCGAGGACCTGATCTCGGGCTCTGTGCGCGAGAACCCGCAGCTGTTCGGCGACCTGTCGCCGGCCGCCGGCTCGCCGCCGGACAGCGACGGCGCCGGCTCGCCCGGCCTGGAGCCGGCCACGCTGCTGGCCTCGCCCGGCTACAACTACACGCTCAGCCCCGGGCCCCCGCAGCAGGTGAGCGGACGCCGACGGCGCCGGCGCCGACGGCGTGGCGACGGACGCCACGGCGGAGGCTTTGTGCTGCGGCGGAGCGCCGTGGCCGCGCAGTCGAAGCGCCCGATAGCCGTAAGTACTACTACTACGACTTCTGGCGGCGGAGCGCCGCGGCCGGCCGGGGTTCTCGTGAGGTGGGCGCCGGTCGCAGCTGTGCGCGGCTTGGGCGCCGGTCACGCGGCCCGGCGTCCGGAAGTGGCCGTCCGAGGAGACGTCTCACCTCTGGCCTCGGATGCCGAGCTGCTGTAAGGGGCCGCAGTTGCGTTTGCGCGGGCATTGTCCGCAGTGGCCATCTCCTCCGTCGAGTCTTCCGGCTCCTCAGGGAGATTCATTCGAGGATTTCGGTTCGGTTTAACTGCGTCACGTTCGCGTGAGCGTCGTCCACTGTGAGCATCTCCTCCGTTGAGAGTCTCGCGGCTTCTCAGGGAGATTCTCTCGAGGATCCCGCCTCGGTTAATCTGAGTCAGGCTGAGCTCCGGTTGCCGGAGGCCGTGCGCCAGCCGCAGTGGCAGCTGCTGTGTTCACTCGGGTGTCGGCCGCGCGGGCGTTAGGGTCCGGGCCGGTGGCAGTCGAGGAGTCAGCCCGGTATGGTCCGGCGCAGCGCGAGCTCCGCCGGCCCGGCCCTCCTCCACACCTCTCCGGCTGCAGCTGCGGTGATTGGTTGGCCTGCTGCCGCCGAGGAGTGAACCCATTGCTGGCGGCCGCGCGCGCCGGACGGCCACCGCTGTGGGCGTGAGCGGACGGGCTCGTCGGACCAGGGCGAGGGTACACCGGACCGGGGCTGGTCCGATCGGGTCACGGGGTGGCACACGCGGGTCACGCGGTCGCACCTCGCACTTACACGGGCGCGAGCGGACACGTGATGACGCGGCCCCCGTACAGCGGGGTCACGTGGTCCAGATCGCAAGGGTCGATTGTGCACACACGGGGGTCACGTGGTCCGTCGCCGGCTGACGGACTGTCTACCGGTAGCGGTCACGTGGGTGATCACGAACGGACCGCGTGGCGTTCGTCTGGGCCGCCGAGACTTAGCAGCGCCCTTCGCTTGACTCCGGCGCGTGGCGACGTCGGCAGGGGACGAGCGGCGCGCTGGGGCTGCTCGGGTGCGGGTCAGCAGGTCGGCCGACGCGGGCCCGGCCCCCACCGCTGCGGTCTGATGCAACGGCCCGCTGGGCTGGACAGGACCGCCGTGGCGCGCGCGACGGCAGCTGACGAAACGCCGCCGCCTCGCCGCCGGCCGGCCGGCCGCACTGTTGTGTTGTTTGTTTGTCGGGGCGCGTGATGTGGACGGGTTCCCCGCGGGGAGCGGGGGCGGGGCGGGGCGGCTGTCGTCGGGCCTGCCCTGAGGCGCTCGGCCCTTCTGTGTAGGGTGAGTCAGCCGCGCTGCGGGAAGGCGCCCGCCCTGGAAAGCCTGCCAGCGTCGCGCCGCCCCCCAGGGTCGTGCTTCCGCGAACCGAAGATGAGTCGCGCCCGTGTTGTTTCGTGCGTCCGCCGGCGCTTTGATGTGTCGGGCAGGTAACTGATGGCTGGATGCTTTCCGGGCCGACTGCTGATCGCGCACCGGAGCGGTTAGGTGGAGGGCTCGATGCAGTGGGGCTACAGCACCTGTTGAGAGCCAGGTGTGGCACCGGTTCCCGGTGCTAGTCGCTTGAGGACCGGCCCGGGGCGGTTTCTGCTGTTCTGCTTACAGGATGGCGGGTGTGCCTGCCACCTGGCCAGCGTACCAGGATCCCGAGTTTAAGCTGGAAGATGACATCTTTACGGAAGATTTGCGGGGTATCACTCTTCAACTCTTGTGGTAATTTGGCCCTCCTTTACGGAAGATCCGCGGGTATCACCCTTCAACTGTTGTCGTAATCTTGTCAGCTCGCCGGCTTGTGGCAAGACTGCATTCTCCGCCGACTTCGGTGGTCTCGGCGCTCGGGCGATGGGGTCTCCAGGGCACCTTCTGCCGAGTGACTGCGTTGGACTTGGCTGGGAAGTAGATGACACTTTGTTGGATTCCCAGCCATGGCGGCATCCTCGGAAACGGGTTCGCGGATTCTGCTGCAATGCGTGCTTTCCATGCGTCACGTTCACGTGCATTTCCTCATCCAGCTCCATCTTTTATCCAGCCATCTTGCCTTTCCTACAACGCAAATGGCAGCTCAGGTTGAGCTCTATAAAACCTGAATTGGGAATAAGGCGTTCCGGCTTCCGCTAGGCGAGACGAGAGGAGGTTGTGCTCTGCTGATTGCGTGTTGGCCGCGCGTACGAAACTTACCGGTGCTCGCTGTGTGGCGACGGCAGACCCCAATGTTCACGCTGTCCTGCATTCCTCATCGTGTTCCACGCAGTTAGATTGTGCCCTCATTTTGCCCAGGAGTGTTTGTGCCATTTTGGGCGAAACGCGAGAGAGAGAGAGAGAGAGAGAGAGAGAGAGAGAGAGAGAGAGAGAGAGAGAGAGAGAGAGAGAGAGAGAGAGAGAGAGAGAGAGAGAGAGAGAGAGAGAGAGAGAGAGAGAGAGAGAGAGAGAGAGAGAGAGATATATATATATATATATATATATATATATATATATATATATATATATATATCAGCTGTTTATATATGTGCATATATGTACAGTTAATACTATGCACAATGTTTTCAAATGAAAGAGCTATAACCTACCTCGTTATTTGAATAGCACTGTCGTGGGTACAATATGACCCCGCAGTCGGCGCGCAATAAAGCCTGCTTAACAACAAACAAAGCCTGCGTTCGACCCAGTTTTCACCACTTGTGTTTAGAGATATGGCGGCATCTGGAGACGCCCTGCGAATCTTCCACACACCTCTGCCTGCTTGCCGCGACGCGGCGCCATCTGTGGACGACCTGCTAACCTTAGCAATCCCTCTTGCCGCCAGGTGTCTCTGGAGGCGTGGGTGCCGACGCTGTCTCCGTCGCCGGGCGACCCGAACTCGCCGCTGGGTTTGTCGGACGGCTCTGCCGAGCTACTGGCGGCCCCGGACTGGTGTCCGAGTCCGGAATCGCCGCCGGTCAGTCGGCGCGCGCCCCGGCCGCGGCCCTACGACAAGCCGGGCCGTCGCCAGGCGCTCACCGAGGAGGAGCGCCGGCAGCGCAAGAAGGAGCAGAACAAGAACGCCGCCACACGGTCAGTGACGGTACAGCGCGGGTGGGGGGGGGGGGGGGGGGGTGACAATTGATGTGCTGGCGAGGATGAATCTGGAGGGGGGCACCTGAGCACGTATCACCTCCGGGCGTCCTGTCGTATGTTCTGCCGTTCGCGAACGCCCCATGGCGCAATGCGATGCATGGAAGTTATGTTTAGTGGTCTCGGTTTCTTTGCCACGTTTGGTATAGTTTGTACAAGTATGCTACTAGTGTGTGGAATACGCGGTGTACTACCGCGCCAGTGAAGGTTGGTGACTTGGTGAAGCTTGGCTCGCCTACTGCACCTGACCGCGTGTCCACTTCTGCCCCTTCAGCTACCGCCAGAAGAAGAAGGAGGAGCACGACATGGTCAGCGGCGATCAGGAGGTGCTGGAGAAGCGCAACAAGCATCTGCGCGAGCGCGTCGGCTCGCTCACCAAGGAGCTGGCCTACCTGAAGGAGCTGATGCGCGAGGTGCTGCGCCACAAACGCGTCGTGTGACGCGGCCGGCCGCCGTCTGGGACCCAGTACAAAGGGAGCAGGCGCGCCGGGCGGCGGCGCGGCGGCGGCGGCGGCGGCCGGCGCACGCCACCACCGCCGCCGCCGCCGCGCCGCCAGACCGCGAGGGACTGCGACGCTGCGGGAGCCGGTGGTGCGGTGGCCGCGTGGCGGCGGCCGTCGCGCCCGGCCGCGTGACGGCCCGGCCCGAGGGAGCCGCGCCGGCGGCCGCCGCCGCGCCGCCGCCGCTGACCACTTCTCATCTCTAGGTTTAGTTCTGTTTACGTCGATTGTACGTCTTTAGCGCGGAGGTGCTGCATGCGAGGCGCGCGCGGCCGAGTTATTAGTCGGTAGTTGGAGCGGGCTTGTGCATACTACGCATCGCGTTGCGCCGCTGTGCCGGGCGGGTTGTAGACGTCGGAAAGGTCATCACGGCGGGGCATTGTTTCGGATGCTGTGCCGTGACGCATGGGCTCCAGATCAAGGTTGTAAGGACTGAATTCGGCAAAGTCCATTATTTTTCATCATGGACGCATCTCATTGTGGAAGCTGCTGGCAATCTTTCCCTCCTCCTCCATCACACATGTTCGTGGACGACATTTCGCGATAGGCTGAGTGGGGCAGCGCGCCACAGGACCTTGACGAGATCAGGCGTTAGCCAATCGGTTCCATTGCACCGGCTGTCAGCACCGATGCGACGCGCCAGTGGAGCGGTTGCTTTATGGTGGACGGTAAAAATCGGGCTGAGTTTTTTTTCTTCAAATGGTTGTGATGAGAGTCGCAAAACGTCCAACGGGCAATGCACACTCATTGGAACTATCGCATCGCGTCTCATTCAAACATTACTCATTCCGCATGTTCATCTTCGTGACGTTTTTACAAGGGAGCTCTGTTGTGCGCGCGCAGCGTGGGCGATACGTAGTATGCACATGTCGGTCAGTTCCGGGCGGGCCGCCGCTATGAGCCCGGAACTCTATCCCCTCTCTGTTTCTCTTCGAGTCTGTCCTCGTCCGCGCGACTGTCCGCCGCTGCTGGCGCGGCCGGACCGGCCCGCGCGCCGGCGCCGCCGGCCGCGTCCCGGCCGCGCCCAGATAACAGTACACGAGGTGGCGGCTACTCGGGTGTATTTCGGTGACGAGCGACGAGGCGAGCCGGGGCGGAGCCCGCGGACGAGAGCCGGGGAGGAGGGGCGGCGTGACGGCGTCGGGGGAGTCGCCGCGTTACGCCGCGTGTGACGAGGTGTTGAGGCCGAGAGGGTACAGTCACAAGACGTGGCGTCTCACCCGCCGCGGATTCGGCGTGCGCAGTGAACGATCGGCTCGGCGCGCGCATGCGGGAAGGTCTGCCGGCGGCAGGCGGGCTGGACACGTCCGACATCCTCTGGTCGGAGTCGCCACGACTGTTTGTGTACCTCAAGCGGTGGCTCAAAGGTCATATTGCAGTTTGGTCCCCTATCGGTATAAACAACAGCGGGTTTGATATCATATCCGGCGTGAGCAAACGAACGATGGTCTAGCGAGAAAGCTCGCTGATAAAACTCGCGAGACGTTAGGTCAGACTATTGACACTGACCATGTGTTTGCACTTCGTTCTTCACACGCTCTAATGGGTGTTAAGCTAACTGGATGGCGCAATCCGTCTTGCGTGCGTTCTAATGGTTGCAAGCTGATGAGAAGGCGCACTTTACTGACCATACCACCGCACTTTTTATTGCCGGTTTATAGTTATTTTTGTCGCGCGGCCAGGCCTCGCCTGGCGTAATAGTGTGGTACGTGTGATGAGGCGCGCCTGTCGCATCGCTCGGCGCGCCTCTGCGCGGCGGCTCGACCTTGAACGACCTTGACCGCGCGACCTGGCGCGGCGGCACGGAAAACCAGACGGGACGGCGGTCAACTGCATCCGGTGAGGGCGATCACAACGGTGGCCAACGGTTCGGTGCTGCGATGGAACGGGATCGTTGGCTGGTTTGGGGGATGGGGAAGCCCTTGACGATTTTCTTCGCTGTATGGACGCATATCGTCTCTGTAGGCGATGACAAGAAAGCAGTGGGCAAGGCACTGCAGGCCCTGGACCCACGGATGATTGCAATCGACTCGCTATCGGAGGAGGATGCCACGGACGTGCGGAGCTTGAATGCAGCACTTCAAAGGGAGTTCGGCACCTCATCGAGGTGGTTTCAGGGCAATTTCGAGAAACGCTGTGAATATTCCGAAATAAACGTACAGTACGCTACTTGCGAGCTGACGCGCGCCGTGTCGTGTCGCGTCTCCTGGTACGGATCCTGCCTCTCCAGTGGCGGCTGCCTTTGTAGCATCCCAGGTCCGCCTGTTGTTCCCTGACAACCGTCCCTGACAACGAGCTGCGGGGCCATAAAAAACGTGTCGACGAAGCCATTTCATCGTCGGCATTGCAGTTCACCCTGTTCGAAACGTCGCACCTGAAGACGGTGAGCTCGCTCAGCAGCGGGGTGAGGTCGTGGGATGACCGCGCGTGGTTAACGCGATTCAGCCCGGCAGACCGCCGTCCCCCTCTCATGGAGCGGCGGCCGGACCCGCCTGGGGTGCTGTGGCAGCACAACTTGGGGCGGCGGGGGTCCGATGTTGGGCCTGCGGCGCGCAAGGGCACGTTCAGGGGGAGTGCAGCTGTCTGCCACGTGGACCGGTTGGCCGGCAGGGGCCCAAGGAAAACAGGGAGCTGGCGTGATTGACCTGTGGCTCACTGGGACGCATGCGGCGAGACTATTCGTGGCTGAAAAATCGCTGAATAAATCGCCAACTTCACGGGCGATTTATTTAGGAACGGGTTCTGATGTGTGTGAAAATAAGTCCTCAGGTCAATTATGGTACAAAAACGTCGAAAATGGCGATCATTTTTCGACGTCATTCGGTGTTTAAGGTCAAAACTTGGGTTATAAGACAGGGAACTCCATATCACCTAAAATTCAAAAGCCGACTTTATATTTGCGAACACCATAAAGTTCACAAGCAATTTCTAGCGTCCGTCAAAAAGTCTCGACCTCGCAAGGTCACCCTTCAAGGTCAAACGCAGGCTCAAAGGGCAGGGCACTTGACATCATCAAAAAATCACCGGCCGATTGCAACTTTTCAGGAATTAGGATATTCACCAGCGCTTGAACTAGCGTTAGTAAAAAACTGCCGACCTTTCAAAGCTGCCCTTCAGGGTCAAAATGTGGGGTCAAAGAATAAGAAACTCAACATCAGCAAAAAAAATACCGACCGATTTTAGACATTCCGATATCAAACAACTTCGCAAGTGCAATAACTACCGTCCGTCGAAAAGTCCTCACCTTTCAAGGCCACCCTTCAAAGTGAAACGTTGGCTGAAAGGACGCAGATCTCCATATCACCAAAGAATACCGACCGATTTTAAACTTGCAAGCACCAGAACATCAACTGCGGACACAACTAGCGTCCGTCAAAAATTTTGACTTCTGGCAGTTGACCTTGCGAAGTCAAACTACTGCTCAAATTACGGGGAGGTTCAGGCGATTTATCCAGCAATGTACGCAGCGACTTCTTTTCGTATCTCTGAAAAACGTCTGAAGGTCAATTATGGCACAAGAACGCCGAAAGTGACCTTTAGTTTCCAATATCATGTGACATTCAAGGCCAAAAACGAGGTCAAAGGGCGCAGAACTCCATATGACCAAAAATTACCGACCGGGCTTAAATTTGCAGGCTTAAAATTACTCACTGGCGCAAGAAATAACGTCCGTCAAAAAGTCCTAACCTCTTAAGGTCACTCTTCAAGGTAAAAAGTGGGCTCCAAGGGCGGTGAGCTTCACATCACCAAAAACAAAAAGACCCACCGATTTTAAATATCCAGGCATCTACATATTTACAACCGCAAAAACTAGCGTCCGTCAAAAAGCGTCCGTTTTTAAAGAAATAATGTCCGTCAAAGGGTCCTAACCTCTTAAGGTCACTCTTCAAGGTAAAAAGTGGGCTCCAAGAGTGGTGAACTTCACATCACCAAAAACAAAAAGACCGACCGATTTTAAATATCTAGGCGTCTAAATATTTACAACCGCAAAAACTAGCGTCTGTCAAAAAGCTCTGATCTCTCAATGTCACCCTTCAAGCCTAAACCTGGGCTAAAAGGACGGGGAACTCCGCGCGAAGAAAAAATGCTGGCTTATTTTAGGCTTTTCAGCACCGGAATATCCACCACAGAAAGAAGTAGCGTCGACCAAAAGGTCCGGACCTTCCAACGTAATTCTTGAAGGCCAAATTCAGGCTCAAAGGACGGGGAACTCCACATTACGACAAAAATACCAAAATTTTTTTGCTAGCATCAAAGTATCCACAAGCGCAAAACTAGCGTCCTCAACAAAGTCCTGACCTCTCAAGGTCACCCCTCAAGGCCAAACATGGGCTCAAAGCACGGGAGACTCTATATAATAAGAAATACTGATCGATTTTAAACTTTCCAGCGCCGGGACGATCACCACAAAAAGAACTAGCATCTATTAAAAGGTTGTGACTTCTTAAGCTCATCCTTTAGGGTGAACCTCAGATTCCAGAGACGGGGAGCTACATATTGCAAAAAATCGCCGGGCTATTTTAAATTTCCACGTTTTAATATTGCCCGTCTTTTTAGCCCGTCCTCGACCTTGAACGATGACGTTGAGAGTTAAGTGTTTTTTATGGACACTAGTTCTTTCTGTGATGAATATGGTAAAAATCGACCGGTAAATTGTTGGTGATATGGAGTTCCCCGTCCTTCGAGCCTGCGTTTAACTTTGAGGGTTGACCTTGAGAGATGAGGACTTTCTGACGGCCGCTAGTTCTTGCGCTTGTGATTATTTTTTATGTGCAAGCTTAAAATCGGTCGGCGTTTCTGGATGGTATGGAGTTCCCTGTCATTTGAGTTCATGTTTGACAATGAGGGTGACTGAAACGTCAGCACTTTTTAACTGACGATATTTTATGCACTGGTTTATATCGTGACGTCTAAAGAGTTTAAATTGGCCGGTATTTGGTGATGTGTACTTCCCCGTCTTCTGAGCCCGAGTTTGAGAAGAAGAATGACCTTGAGAGGTCAGGACTTTTTGACGGGCACTAGTCGTTTCTGTTATAAATATTTTGATCTTGGCAATTTTAATGTCGGACGATAATTTTTCGGTAATATGGAGTTTCCTATCTCTTCAGACCGCGTTTGATCCTGAAGGGTGACCTTGATATGTCAGAACTTTTTGACGGACGCTATTCTTGCGGTTGTGAATGTTTTGATCATTGCAGATTTAGTATCGGTCGGTGATTTTTGGGTGATATGAAGTTTCCCGTTCTTTGAGCATGAATTTGACCTCGAACGACGACATTGGGAGGTCAGGACTATTGACGGACGCTAATTCTTTCTGTGATGGATATTCTGGTGCTGCGAAACATAAATTCCGCGGGCAATTTTTTCGTAATATAGAGTTCCCCAATATTTGAGCTCCCGTTGGACCTCGAACGGTGCATTTGAGAGGTCAGGAGTCCTTGATGGACGTTTCCTCTTGCGCTTGTGAATAATTTGATGCTTGGAAAATAAAGATCAACCGGTAATTTGTTTTCGAAATATGGAGTTTCCCGTCGTTTGATCTAGTGCTTGATTTTGAAGGTCACATGATATTGCAGAATTAACGCTATTATTGATATTTTCGTGCCATAAATGACTTTAAGACATGTTCTCAGAGAAATTAAGACTTGTCGATGAATGAATCGCTGAATAAATTGCCAAAGCTCCCCGTAATTTGAGCAGTAGTTTGACTGTGAAGTTCAACTGGAATAGGTCATTGTTTTTTGGCGGACACTAGTTCTGCCTGCGGTAAATATTCTAGTGCGGGAATGGTTAAAATCAGCCAGTATTCTTTAATAAAATGGAGTTTCACATCCTTCGAGGCCGCATTTGACGTTGAAGGGTGACCCTGAGAGGTCAGCGATTGTTGGCGTACGCTAGTTCTTGCGATTTGAAATACTTGAATGCTTGCACATTTAAGATCGGCTGGTATTGATATGAATATGAAGTTCGCTGCCATTTGAGCTTGAGCTTGACCTTGAAGGATGACAGTGAGAGGTCAGAGCTTTTTGACGAACGCTGGTTCTTTCTGTGTTGAACGTTCTAGTGGTAGCAAGTTTAAGATTGGCCGATAAACTTTTAGTGATATGGGGTCCCCGTCTTTTGAGCCGGCGTTTTAGTTTAAAGGGTGACCTTGATTGGTAAGGGCTTTTCACGGCGCTAGTTCTTATCCTTGTATGTTCATGTTTTCTTGAGTCCGCTTTTGACCTCAAGGGGTGAGGCTGAGACTTTTTGGACTTTTTTACTTACCACCGGGCTTTTTGACGGACGGTAGGTCGTGTGCTTGTAAACGTTTCGGTATTGGGAGATTTAAAATCGGCCGGTAATTGTTTTGGTGATATGGAGGTCCCCGTCCTTTGGCCTTAAGGTCACATGATCTTGCAAAATAAACTATGCCGTAATTTCGTGCCATAATTTACCTTGAGACGTGTTTTCAGAGAAGTCGGAGCTCGTCGCTGAATAATCGGTGCATAAATCACCAACTTCAGGGACGCAACTTCACGAACATGCGATTGGACATGCCCAGCATGACTGCCCGATGCGTTTAAACTGAAACGGCGTAATACCGAGGGGCGGGCGGTAACTGGGGCTAAATCAGCGCGCTCCAAGCGTCTCGGCTTGGCCATTCATCCAGCTGACCAACCGGCGGCTCGCTCGTTGCATGCGCGCGGGCGCATTGGCAAGCTGGACTGCACGTGGCTTGTGGGCACCGGTGCTGAAGTGACGTGTGCCCCAGCGGTTTTGCCAGAGATGCATACTGCCACGCGTGCGCACAGAACAACAGCTTATCGGAGCGAACGGCGTGGAACTGCAATGTGTGGGTCAGATTTCAGTGGATGCTGATTGGGCCAGCAGCGCTCAGTCCCGCTCGCATGCGAGTGGTAGAAATCTGTCTGCTCCAGCGACACTTGGTACCGATGTTCTGGGGAAATTTGCGACTTCCAGCGTCCATTTCGCAAGGCGGGCCCCGCATATTGGCGACTTCTGTGTCCAGCTGGAGGCCAGGCGGGGTGCGGCGCCAGCACAGCCGGTTGTCGTGCGACTGGCATCTGGCGACATTTTGGATCCCTTCTCGGAACGGGTAGTAGATGTCAGATTTAGTAGATTAGTAGATTAGTAGATTTAGTAGATTTCGGTGCGAGTGCACGGGA